TCATAACTCGGTTATAAAAAGACTAGGAATCAGAAAAGAGCTGGTGTAGATGAGAAATATCTAACGTGGTGCACTACCTACAGTGCGTCCCTGAGTGGGCGGCAATCTCCCACGAATCTTCATAAGCCAGCTCCGAGAAGTTCTAAGAGTGCCAAAAAAGAAGAATGAGGTTGGCGAAGGAAAGGAGGTGAACTGCTGCAAATTGGCTGGATCGGGCATACATCAATGTGGGCGAAGTTCGCCACGACTTTATAAATGAGTTGCGAAACTGCCTGGAGACTGGAGAAAGAGGTTGGCGAAGTGAGGTTATTTGCCATCAGTGGGTGGAGTGCGCAGCAACATAGGCGGGGCGATTTCTACGAGCTGAAAGCGGTTCCTATCACTACTCCGAATGCGGGAAGAAGGTGAATGGAGTGTGAAAAAAAAGTGAAAGTGAATGGAGTGAAAGTGGAGGATCTGAGCCCTCATGGTGAGTGGGCCTGGGTTAATAATTTGGTTCCCTTGCTGAACATGTCTGGATCCCAGGGTGACGCACGCGTGAGCCTGCGAAGCTAAACTGAAGACGTAATTATTTACAATGAGAACGCTTTCAGGCACGTTCAAAGGAAGATTTCAAAATAAATATAGAAAATGAAACCAACCGATCAAAAGGATCACCAACGAACTTGCGGACAGTTGTCACGGAGCCGTAGTTGAAGGAACCTTGCAAAAATAAATTTGTGGATTCCTATCTCTACACGCGTGAATGTATTTTAGGCACGATTGCGGGCAGAGGATGGACGGGGAGAGGGGGAGGAGGGATAGCATGGCGCAACAGTCAAGGTCAATTTTCTACGGAGACGAAGCTCCAGGGTAGGTAAATCAGTTTGCCTGCGCAGGAAAGGAACTGTCTGAGCCTGAAAATGAAAATGTTCGCCATGGCTTTGAATGTTTTGTATCGCACCACGATGTCCCACCCCTACAAATAAGACTTTAGCTTGCTTCTTAAATTACTTCTCAAATATTCAAGAATAGAGCAATACATCGTACTATTCAAATACTACTACTACAACATAGAAATCCCAAAAGGTGGTCACCAACTTCATGCTCTTCTCGCTGACCACTTAACAATCTACCTTCAGAAGGAGAAGATCCCAGACCAATGGAGGAACTCACGCATGATTATCCTCCATAAGAAAGGAGACCGTGATGATCTTCGCAATTACCGCCCAATTAGCTTGCTGAGCGTTCTGTACAAGCTATTCACCAAGATCATCCTTACGCGCATTTCGCGATCACTGGACGAAGAAGGTTTTCGACAGTGTAGAAACGAACGCGATCCTGTCAGCATTAGTCGACCAAGGAGTGGAACCGTCCTACATAAGAACGCTGGCCGACTGCAATCGTCGCTGCACCGCAACGGTGCAACTCTTCCAACGACCTCTCACCATCCCTTTGGGGAAGGGCGTGAGACAAGGCGACACTATCTCGCCAAAGTTGTTTACGGCTGCGCTGCAGTGGATAATGAAGTCGCTCGATTGGGATGAGAAGGGCATTCGTGTGGACGGACGGTACCTTTCAAATCTGCGCTTCGCCGACGACATCGTTCTCTTCTCAAGTAGCACTACGGAAGCTGAGACGATGCTCGCTGAACTGAATGAAGCAGGAAAGAAGGTGGGGTTGCGGATCAACCAGAAAAAGACACAATTCATGAAGAACGCTTGGTCCGATGGAGGCGGAATCAAGATTGATGGCACACCTATCATGGAAGCCACATCTTACGTTTATCTCGGGCGATCCATGAACATGGACAACGATATGAAGGAAGAGCTAGGAAGACGACACAGAGAAATTGTAAAAAGGGGTCAATACATATAATTAACACTCTCCTCTGGAATGCCCCGAATTCCGCTCCCACTCGCAGTAGTAATGGCATGCAGTTTGGTCACTAGCCCTAACTTTCGGAAGTCAGCCGATGTGTACGTCAGTGTGTCATCATCGTCGGACGCTATGACAACGATCCTGTGAGTAGCAAGCCTCGTAGCGTCCTTCATATGTACTGGCTTTGATTGGAAGCTCGTGGTCCCTGAGCAATAAATTGCCCTAACTGCCGATAGAACTATAGATCGCTTATATACAGTCCCCAAGCGGACATCTCCCCTGAGCAAACATTAGTTCTTCTGGCTCACACAACGACGAAGTATTCAAATGAATCCTTTTCATGAGAGCAAATAAAAAATGCGGATACTTGTCAATTTCAGTCGTATCATGGGTGTTTATCGACGTGGAGGTGTAAAACACGAAGCCGTAGCTATGAAAAAAGATATGCCTTAGAAGCGTCGCCAATGAGTGAATTCTTTTCTTTCCAATTCTACTTCACATCATTGGTTTTTGTCTATGTCGAGGTAGGTGTGAAGAAGACAACAAAAGCGAACTTGAAAGGTATTCTGTGGTGCACAACAGTAAATTACCGAGGAAAGGTAATACTCAGGAGCAATCTACTTTGGAAACAAGAAATGATACACGCGAAAAAATGAGCTAGCACAGGGTTCATGACTGTTGCTGAAAAAATAAGCTCCAAGGTTTGAGTTTTAGAAAAAATGACTCCATGTTCCGTAATCCATGAGATACGAGTTCTGAAGTATTGTCCAAGAATTTTGCAGAGGAGTTTCGTTCTGTTGGAAAACTTTTGGTTTGGCCACAAAGAGTACCTGTTTTACAAATTCGTCGTTGATGCGACAATGCTCCCTGGATACTGATATAAGTTGTATTGGATAACAGGCATGCGGGAGATAAGAGTGATTCTCGAGTTAAAATAAACTTCATGAGGTGTTCGCATGGAGAACATTTCGAGATTTGTATTTCACCCGGACAAACGATGAGGGGTATTGTTTATTAATTGTAAGTGTAGACAAGGTCCATTGTTGTGCCAGAGTTATGCGGTTTCGAAGGAGCATTTGTGAACAGCAGATCTAGATTTGATATCTGAAGCTCCACCCTACACGATCTGACGCTGCAGAGACGATCCTAAGTTAAGTGCTTGCATATTTTTTCAGTATTGCGGAATAAAAAGGAAATTTCTCTACAGTACTGGGAGAGGAGAAGATTTAACCAGTCTTTCAAGATACGGGGCATACGCATGGAACTTTAAGGTTTGCCTTTGGGCATTCACAGGTTTCACTTGCAAAATCACAATGATATTTTCTGGCGTCTCATGAGTAGAACACTGGAATTGTCAAGGAACGTTTTGCCCTCGATAGGCTGGTTTCAGTTTAGCAATATTGTCCCAATCCGACATGAGCGTGAAGCCGTAATCAGTAATTTTCCGGAGATGGTGCTGATTGAGGTAAGGCATAAATTTTTGAGGAGCGTACATTTTTTGCGAGTAGGGTTGTTAGTGGTCTGAGGTGGGCTGCCCTTTCGTACTACGCGTCCTAGCGTGAAGTTACCGCAGGAGTAAATGCCGAGGTGAGGGCATTGAAAGATCCCTACTATATATAATGCGCTATGTCTGTCTGTCCGTCTGTCACGAAATTCGGTATCAAGCGAACAACAACCTACAGGGTCCAGGTCAAGTTTGGGATGGGTATACCATATCCCTAGAAGTAAAAAACACACATCAGCCAAGCGGAGCCCCGCCCACAGTGGGCGTGGCGTGCATCGGTTGATTTCAAATTCAGTCACAAAACAGCCTCGAGACCGGGACAAAAGTGGGCATAGGTGTGGGTTGGTAAGCCAGATCGAACTGAGGAGACCCACCCTCGGTGGGCGGGGCGTTCTCTAGAAAATGGGTGCTCAGTGAAAATATTCATAACTCGGTTAAGAGGAAGCCTACAGACCAGAAACGAAATTAGTGCAGGGGAGCAATGCCTAAGGTATTTCCACCACGCATGATGTGAACGGAGGCCCGCCCACAATGGGCGGAGCGTGTCGTGAAGCGGACAGCATTTTCTACAAGAGCTCATAAATCGGCTCCGAGATGACTTAGAGACCGGAAAACAACGGATAGAGGTCAGGAGGGGAGGGGAAGCTAAATGTCAGGGATGGGCGTGGCTTACATCAAAGTGGGCGGAGTTTGCAATTAGGCTTATAACTCGGTTCCTAGGAGTCCCGGAGTCCGGGAAAAAAGCGTATGAGGGTTGGCAGAGGGAAAGGGGTCAACCGTTGTTGGCGGGCGGAGCATGCACCAAAGTGGGCGGGGTTTGCCACGGTACTTCATAACTCGGTTCCAATAAGTTCCAGAGATGGGAGAAAAGTAGAAAAAGGTTGGGGAAGAGATGATAGCCGACTGATATCAGTGGGCGACCCACGCACCAAAGTGGGCGGGGTTTGCCACGGTACTTCATAACTCGGTTCCAATAAGTTCCAGAGATGGGAGAAAAGTAGAAAAAGGTTGGGGAAGAGATGATAGCCGACTGATATCAGTGGGCGACCCACGCACCAAAGTGGGCGGGGTTTGCCACGGTACTTCATAACTCGGTTCCAATAAGTTCCAGAGATGGGAGAAAAGTAGAAAAAGGTTGGGGAAGAGATGATAGCCGACTGATATCAGTGGGCGACCCACGCACCAAAGTGGGCGGGGTTTGCCACAAAGATACGTAGCTCGATTTCGTCCCCTACAAGACCTCATAATTCTGCTCCGAGACGACTTAGAGACCTGAAAAAAATACGCCAGAGGTGAAAGTAGGAGTAGAGGTTGAATGTGAACGCTGGGCGTGGCACACCCGGATGTGGGCGGAGTTTGCCACCGCTCTCATAACTCGGTTCCTAGAAGTTCCGGCGACCGGGGAAAATGTGCATAAGTATTGAGGTATGGAGTAGGGTTGAATGCCATTGTTGGGCTAAGCATGCACCAAAGTGGGCGGGGTCTGCCTCAGAAATTCGTGACTCATAACGCCATTTACAAGACCTCATAATTCGGCTCCGAGATGACTTAGAGACCTGAAAAAAATACGCCAGAGGTGAAAGTAGGAGTAGAGGTTGAATGTGAACGCTGGGCGTGGCACACCCGGATGTGGGCGGAGTTTGCGGCGTAAGTAAGATGTACCGAGCAGAAAGCTAAAATCAAGACAAAAATACTGATGGGCCCGATTTTACCGCTGAGCCCCGTCTCATGCACGCGAATGCGTGCGCAGCCAAACTGGTGTATAAATACGAAAATGACTGAATTTGTGACTCAGGCTATAACGTTATTTACAAACAACTGGTTTGTTGGATCTTTATTAGCGAGAATTTCACGCTATTCTTCACACTTTAACGTTGTACGAACTTTTGATTCTGAGTGATGTCTCTCCCTTCGGTAAGAACTTATGTGGTGCGCTACGGATATCGAAGAGGCAGGAGTGTATGGGAGAAGTGCTATCGGGCTAGTGTCTTTTCAAGAGACCCTTTTTTTGGCTTCACGTCTACGTGATGCCGGGTGCATCGTGGGCGTCGACAAGATGGTGATGTGCTTTGATCAATTCGATGAATATATCCAGCTATCATAACAGACAACCGCCACAATCCAAACATCCGCGCGTGGAAGTAGAGTAGGTGTGTCCAGGGCTGCTGTCCAGAGCACCTGTGGATATGATGATGTGAGAGAAGTTAGTGGTGCAGTTTCCAGCTAGGTAACACTGACGGTTGGATTCAGGCAATGACTCGTGACCTGTGAGAACAAACTCAAATCTTTTTTTATATGTATTGCTTATCATGCGTTATAGAGACA